TTATTTTTACTGTTCACACGTATTTGAGAAATATAGATTAAGTATGATTATGAAGATCTAATTAATTAAATATTAATATTTTACATGTATATTATTTAGGTACCTATGTTCATATGCGATATGCATAAGCAAAGTTAATTTATTATAGTATTACTAAATATTTTATTAAATATTGAAGTATACATTATCACATTATTCAATCATTGATTACTTTTTTGAAAACACTAATATTTTAATTCTATAAATTATATTAAATACTGTATTTTTATGTGTATAGAAGTTATGGTTTATGCACACGTACTCAACTATAAATTATTTTTCCATGCAATAGTTTTTAGTTGTTTTAAATTTATCTATATTATTTTTCTTGTTTATTTTATAGCTAACAAAGTTCGATTTAGCTATAATGAATCTTATATACATATATATATATATTATATAAGTACTTATTTTATTCGAGGTAGCTGCATGTATACATTTATTTTTATGTATCTTCTACATATATAAAATATACTGTATTTATAATGAGTACCTACATATCTATAGCTGCATACATAAGTTAAATCACTAATTACTGTGTCATGTGTATTAATATAAATATATATATGCATATTTTGAATGATTATTATTATTAAGTTCAGTCCTCTAGTTTTTTAAAATTTAAATTGACATTGATGATTTTCTGTTTCATCATAAATACTTTTTAAAATATATTTCTGGTCAACTATTTCTTTATTATGCATTCAACATATCATAATAACTCACTAGTGTTTTATATCCTTATTTTAAATTTGAATGTTAAATCATGTTAATCTGAGCATGGTTAAAAATAATATAACTATATTTTTGTTTTTTACGCAAGGTGTTTATTTATATGTCTTATTTATCTTATTTTCTCAATGTTCTTAGTAACTACTCAAAAATAAATCTATAAAATGGTAGTTTTAGTACTTATAATATGAATTAATCTTTAAATCTAGATGAACTTTATATACCCTCCTCTAAAAAGTGTTGATTAAAAACAAAAGAACACACACAATTTAAAAAATATAATATTTAATTCTAACTCAATAAAATAWAATAGTTATAATACCCATAAGTAAAATGTATATCCCAAATGCAAAAGCGCTAAAGAGGATTGTACAATTCATAATAAAAATCGTAGTTAAAAAAAGGTTTGGTCATTTAAAAATAAATAAATGCATAAMTATAAAGATTTTATGAAATATTTAATAAACATAGGTAGCTTAAATTTTTAATTCATATTTTTATATAATCATTGATATTATTTATTGAGCATGCAAACAGAATTGTAAGTAAAGAAAACAACAGGTTAGGTATGATGTATGAAAATGCATRAAAAAATACTGAAACTGGTTTATATATAACTATTTATAATTGGATAAATATTCATAATTTAAAGGTGGTTAGATAAAAAAAAAATCAATTATTTAACTAGAAATATTTTATATGAAAAAAAATTAAGAAGTAACATTATTTATATTTAT